CTCTACCGATTAAATCGGAGAAATTTTCATATATATATATATATATATATATATATATATATATATATATATATACACACACACTTTTGTACTTGACACACAGAAGATTTCGTAATTTGCGAGGGAGCAAATTCGATGATAATTTTTTTTCCATTATAATTTATTCTCAAAGGGTCACAGGGTTACCTAATTATAAATTTATAAAATTACCTAAAGGTGCAAGCGCGGGTCCAAATTAAGGGAAACCCATGTTTTTGTCGCTAGCAATAGGACCGCCGAATGACGACCTATTTTTCTTCGAGTGACCGATATATAGACGGAAGTGACGTTGTTTGAGGTTTGACGATGAACGGAATGCCGCGTGGACGACGTAGGAACTTGTGAAATTAGCTATGATCATCTCAATCAAAAATCAGTATTTATGACTTGGTTTTTGACGGTTTAAATGTAAATTTGATTTATTAAAAAAATAAAATATGGTAGTAATAGTATAGAGTTTATTTTATCATTCGTCCTTGCTTTGAATATTGCTGCCACGTCTGGCCTGGTTCCCCTGAAACATATTTAGAGATTCTTGAGGAAATCCAAGGAAAAATCTGCAATGTCATTTGCCCTGACCTGGTATTTCGACTTTAATCGCTTTCCCACCACTGTAACGTCTCTTCCCGGTGTCTTTTCTATAAATACTTTCATAGTAATTGTTCTAATGAACTTTTTTTCTAAGGTGTCTCGACTTTATGTATTTAAGCGCAGTACTACATTTGGTGGCAAGGTCTCAACAAATTTACAGTTGAAACGGATAGATGTAACCGTAAGTTCTATGCTAAGTTTCCTCTGTCGCACTTCTCGCTTGTGGAAATCTCTCCCAGCTTCTTGCTTCCCAGTCAACTTTGATTTTGAAAAATTTAACTCCAATGTTAATCATTATCTTCTGTTTTCTTAATTCTTATTTTCTTATCGTCCTCTTTCCTTAATAGTAGTTTTCCTCATATTCTCTAACGCTGAGTGTTACAGTTTTTTGGATATATCTATGTAATAGTAAGCCAACCAAAATGAGCTGACTCATTTTATAGTCCACCAAGAGAAGGGTTAACGAATCAGAAAGCTCAAAATATTCAATCCGACGTGTATAAAGGCAGCCATTTTGTTTTTTTTCTCCCAAAATTTCTTCACTGCCAACCTCTGATATCGAAGACTTAAAGAATTACTTAACAGCTGCTACTTTCTCCGAATCTTCATTGCCAACCTCTGATATTGAACACATTACGGACTTCACTGGATTCTATATTCAGAGACTACGACAAACATGGTTAACACTGAATAACCCCTTGCATCCTAGTGGCTTTATTGCTTTGCTTGGGGTGAAATGATTAAAAAAATATATATTTAATTTTGTTCTTAGAATCGTGAAAGTATTGCTGGAAAGGAAACTTAGTATGTATTATATTAGAGAAAAAGCACCGTTAATTAAAATTTTCAATGTCAAGATATGCATATGTATTAAACTTCAAAAATATTAATTTAAAAAGAAATGTAATTTAAAATATCTGTCTATATCTCTGAAATGAGGTATCATGATTACTTATATTATTTACATTATTCGCACTGCTATCCTCATCTTCATTGCCATATTCACAACGTTTCGGCCGTTGTACGCTTTGGCCTTCTTCAGGTGATTGGAATTTCGAATCGAACCCTTTATTTCGTTCACCGGCGCAGATTGTTCTAGTTCCACGTGCCAAGGATCAAGGACACATTGCCCAGTGGATAACGACGTTGGTTAAATCCAGAGACTTGACTCAAAAGTTTAGAGTTCAGTACCAGGTCACAGCAGTGGTGAATCAAAACTTGGAGATTTGAGCTAGAGGGAAATAACCGAGACATCCGGAAGAGGCATGGCACATGGAACTAGAACAATCTACTCCGGTGGACGAGATGAAGGGTTCGGTTCGAAATCCCAATCACCTGAAGAAGGCCGGAGCATACAACGTCCAAAACGTTATGAATATGGCAATGAAGATGAAGATATAGTTGCAGCAGTCAGATAAGATAAATTAAAAAAGTATGTCATTGCGGCTATATCTGTCCTGGAGCTGCACAATCTTCACTTTTCAGCTTTGGCAGAATCCTTCTTCCATCTTTTATCTTTACAGGAGTCAGATTAGAACAAAAATGGAGTAGTGCTGTCATATCTTACCTGGAGCAGCCCACTCTTCACTTTCCAGCCTTGACAGTGGTCAAAAACATTTACACCGATACGCAGGTCACTAATTATTTCCTAACCTACAACCAATTTCTCACAGATGAAAGGTTGCTAGCTAGAACTTCACTGCTAGGACCCACCATGCCACGTACGCAGGGTCCAATCATCATTTCCTTTCATATTGAGGAAATTATTTCCCTCACACAGCTTCTTCTCGCGAAACGCTAAATTGGGTTACGGACTGGTTTAGTAAATATACTGACAAACACATAAATCCTATCCCATTTACATTATATATATATATATATATATATATATATATATATATATATATATATATATATCAAAAAAAGAGACGAGAAGTGCCGCAAACAAAATATTATGCTTTATTTTGCATTATGCAAAATAAAGCATAATATTTTTCTAAAAATCCACATTACAACCAAAAACATTTGCAACCTCTCTTCTATTCTTTTTAATATACATACTTTTCTCTTGTTGGAACCACTATAACCTCTTTCTTATATATATATATATATATATATATATATATAATTTATTACATAGGAATTACGATCCAAATTCATCAGACGTTCAAATTCAAAATTTTTTAATTTGTAGGTCTGATGAATTAGATCATAATTACAATTCAATGTAATAAATTATAACCATGGAATATTAGTGTTTAAGCCTTTTTATTATATTCTTACTCTGTCCTGGACATTGAGTTCTGTCTGGATTCTATCCTCTTGGAAGTTTATATATGTATGTATGTATGTATGTATGTATATTTATATATTTTATATATATATATATATATATATATATATATATATATATATATATGTGTGTGTGTGTGTGTGTGTGTGTGTAATATATATATATATATATATATATATATATATATATATATATATATATATATATATATATATAGACAGATAGATATTCACTCATTTCAACCTGGCAAGGCAATAAAGCTACAAAAACTCAAGGGGTTACTCAGTGATAGAGAATTGGAAAATATATACTATTAATGAGAGAGAACAAGATTTAAGAAGACGGAAGATAACGATTGACATTGCATTTAATTTTTTGAAGATCAAAGTTGACTGGAAAGCATGGAGCCGGAAGAGAGTTCCACAAGCGCGAAAGGCGTGTATAATGGAAGTGTAATCAAGAACACAGCAGATAACGATTGACATTGCATTTAATATTTTGAAGATCAAAGCTGAACGGAATGCAAGAAGCCGGAAGAGATTTCCACAGGCGAGAAGTCAGATAAAAGGAAATTAAGGTTACGTCTAGACATTTCAACTGTAAAATGAGACCTAGCCGCCAATCAAGTATTGTGTTTAAATTCATAAAATCTAGGTACCACAGAGGAAAATTCACCAGAACAAATACCGTATTTGATGAAAATGCACAGGTTAGCTACATTACTGTGGCGAGAAAGTGACTGAAGCCGAGATCCCAGGTTAGGACCAATAACTTTGCAGATTCTTCTTTGAAATTTATTTCTAAAGCAGCACCAAACCAAATGTGGCATCAATATTCAAAGCAAGGACGAATGGTAGATTTATAAATATACAAGAAAGGTTCTGGTGAGAAATATTGTCTAGCACGACACGATGAACCAAAAGTCATAGCAGCAGATCTCTGTCTCTCTCTCTCTCTCTGTGTATAAGAGAGAAATAGTGGTAAATAGACAGGTCGGGCCAAAACGTATTTCTTAGAAAGGGTTTGAACAGGAAGAGGAACACCTCCTTACCTGTTCATTCAGGAAGCAAAAGCTAAAATGTCTATTAATACGAGTGCTGAAAGATTCTCATACTGACCGACTTTTGAAAATTTGATTAATCATCATTTTATTTTATTTAATCTTTGTTTTTAAGGTTTTCTAGGTCTGCCCAAGAACTTTTAAGCTCCCTTCGCGCACCCCACACGTATATATGTTTCTTTATATGTTTTATGTATTTCTTTGCATATGAAAAGGCATTTAAGAAAAAAAAGATATTGATATTGTAACGACAAACACAGCCATCTCAACAAAAGAAAAATTTGGTAAAGAATCTTTATTCTTTGTTTGAAATAGTGATTCCGTTTTCTTAATTGTTTTTGATGTAGCCATAACGTTTCGGTCGATACATTCTCCAGTTGTCTTCAGACGTTATCAAAATGGCCATGTTTTTGTTCTATGCTATTCACTCTTCTGTTTTCGTTTTGCGAAAAGCAACTGTTTATATGCAAATACATATTTTAAAACAACACTGATTTACTTCCAAATATAGCGAAAATTCTTACACCACATTTCCGCATTATTTCATTGTTGGAAATCATGGTGAAAATCTTCAAACAAACCAGGACGAAGATGGCCAAAAATGTGACCAGCTAAGGTAGTCAAAATTTCAACAATCGGCATTTTGGAAACCATTTCAAAGTTTCGAGGGCACGGAAGACAATAGAACCTGATCGATCTACTTCCGGTTTTTAGGCGCCCTCAAAAACTGCTGAATAGAATGATATGGAAAATAACCAGGAGTGCAAAAGCATCGTCAAAGAAGACACCAATATAGGTGTGTCCGATTTCATGTTCTGAGGGCATCGTTCGATGACGGATTCTGAAGGAATTCCTTTAAGAAAAAAAAAACAATATTAAAGAAAATCATTTGAAAACTATAAATGTAGAATAAGTCTAGAATAGAAATGATTTTCTAGGTTAACTTGGTAACCACTGAGTCTTAGCGAGATGCTCTGTTCGCGAAAGAAAGATTGTGCCAATTCTTCACGTAATCAGGATTTGCCTGCCGAGAAAATTAACATTGGAATTTTTTTTCTCATGTGCTTTTTACTCTTTCTACTTTCTTTTTTTTCTGCTTCCCCTTTTTTCTTTCCTTTTCTCCTCTAACTTTTTCCTTTTCTCCTCTAACTTTTCCTTTTCTCCTCTCCCTTTTCCTTTTCTCCTCTCACTTTTTCCTTTTCTCCTCTCACTTTTCCTTTTCTCCTCTCACTTTTTCCTTTTCTCCTCTAACTTTTCCTTTTCTCCTCTCACTTTTCCTTTTCTCCTCTCACTTTTCCTTTTCTCCTCTAACTTTTCCTTTTCTCCTCTCACTTTTTCCTTTTCTCCTCTCACTTTTCCTTTTCTCCTCTCCTTTTCCTTTTCTCCTCTCACTTTTTCCTTTTCTCCTCTCACTTTTCCTTTTCTCCTCTCACTTTTCCTTTTCTCCTCTCCCTTTTCCTTTTTCTCCTCTCACTTTTTCCTTTTCTCCTCTCCCTTTCCTTTTCTCCCCTTACTTTTTTCCTTTTCTCCTCTCACTTTTCCTTTTCTCCTCTCACTTTTTCCTTTTCTCCTCTCACTTTTTCCTTTTCTCCTCTCACTTTTCCTTTTCTCCTCTCACTTTTCCTTTTCTCCTCTCACTTTTTCCTTTTCTCCTCTCACTTTTCCTTTTCTCCTCTCCCTTTTCCTTTTCTCCTCTCACTTTTTCCTTTTCTCCTCTCACTTTTTCCTTTTCTCCTCTCACTTTTCCTTTTCTCCTCTCACTTTTTCCTTTTCTCCTCTCACTTTTTCCTTTTCTCCTCTCTTTTTCCTTCTATTTTTCCAATATCCTTTTCTTTTTTGCCAGTCTTTTTTTTCTTTCCGCTTTTTTTCGTTTTCTCTGCTTTTTCTTTTTTGTTTCTCTATCATTTTTTTCCTTTTCCTCTTGCTTCGTTTTCCTCTTTTTCGTTTTCCTCTCTTTTTTCGTTTTTCCTCTCTTTTTTCGTTTTTCCTCTCTTTTTTTGTATTCCTCTCTTTCTTGTTTACCTCTCTCTTTTTCATTTACCTCTCTTTGTTCGTTTTTCTTCTCTTTCTTTGTTTTATTCTCTTTTTTCGTTTACCTCTCTTTTTTTGTTTTTCCTCTCTTTTTTTGTTTTTCCTCTCTTTTTTTGTTTTCCTCTTTTTCTCGTTTAACCCTCTCTTTTTCGTTTTCCTCTCTTTGTTCGTTTTTCCTCTATTTTGTTTTTTCTCTCTTTTTTCGTTTTTCCTCTCTTTCTCGTTTACCTCTGTCTTTTTCATTTACCTCTCTTTGTTCGTTTCTCCTCTCTTTTTCATTTACCTCTCTTTGTTCGTTTTTCCTCTCTTTTTGTTTTCCTCTCTTTTTTCGTCTTTCCTCTCTTTTTTTGTTTTCCTCTCTGCTTTTTCCTCTCCTTTTCTTTCTTTTTTAACTCTTTGTCTTTTTTCGTTTATTTTCTCTCTCTTTTTCTTTGTTTTCTTCTCTCTTTTCCCCCTCACTCTTTTTTCTTTGTTGTCCTCTCTCTCTTTTTTCCTATTTTTCCTCTCTACTTCTGATCTTAACCAATGACCTCCAGCTCCAGAGGGAAATATGATTTCTTTATTAAACACTGATTCTTCTGTAATCTTGTCCACTACTTAATAAGATTTCAATTATTTTTAAACACGTGTAACATCCTGCTGTTCTACACCAGAAAATCCGAAGACGCCATGCTAAATAAACGCAAAACCTTTGCTTCAATAATTTATAGGGATCAAGGTTTGAGGTTTGGCCAAATGTTTTTGTTTCCATGGTTTTTGTATGTGTATTCATCTGTCTTAGTCTCCATGAATAGGCATCGCGTCACGGGGTTCCTGTTGTTAGCGGCATGCTGTTTCTGCAAATTGGCCAGATTTTTACACTGCGACAAATTTGACCTTTTGATATTTTTCTTCGGAAATATTAACGAAAAAAAACATATAAAAATAAGAAAGAAAAAAAGCCTACCTAGGGCAAGAGCATCTCACTCCACTGGAAAGTATTCGTTTTGGAAGCCATAGATATTTATTTCAACATCGCGTTCGCTTTTCAAAATAATCTTCATGGACGGTTTTTGGTATCACCATCGGTTGCACCATCACGTTCTCTTTAATCTTGTCCAAGGTGTTTCAATAGCAACTTTTAGCTTTCCGTGGTAACCCCCTCCACACACACACACACACACACACACACACACACACACACACACACACACACACAAACACCCCCAAAAAAAACAACAAAGTACTACAAGAAGCGTGAAGAATCTATTTTATCGATGTGAATGCGATAGTCACAAAGCCTATCTGCTGATGTAGAAATCGACTGAGCAACGCCACGGAGATCAGTTTACGCAGGCGCAGTAAGGCTTCCCTTGATTTTTTTCCCAAGTTACGTTAAAAACCAGTAAAAGATTCTCGAGATATTTATCCATGTTTTAATATAATTATTTTCATAAGATAAACATTTTGGGCCCAACAATGAATTAAAAAAAAATCCTTCTGCTATGTACCGTGGTCCTTCATAACTTGACCTTTCATAGCTCTCCACAACTTCCTATCCGTTGCAGCTCTTAGCAATGTTTGTCTTTTTCATCGCACTCAGTCCTGGTTCTGTCATCCATTTACATAACCTTGTCAGTTAGATTACGTGGGACCCTTTTGGTTTCAATATGCCTTGTGAATGTCAAACTTTCCCAGTCTACTTTCCTCATTATCTGTCCCAGAAATTTAAACCATCTCTTGCCAATTTTAAGTATAGGTGTTCTTTCCATTTCTATTTTGCTTAAAATTTCCTCGTACAAGTTAAGCAACGTCGAGCTTGGTCAGTACCTAAATGGGTACTTCCATCGTGTGGAAGTGGCTGTGAGCTTAGAAAAGAGATACACACATGATAGAAAATTGTGGAGAAACATGACCGCTTGACGGGACTCGGTACATAGAACTACATGTATTTTTCAGCTGCAAGGACTTTGTTCAGCATATCGCATAGCAGGTCAACACTCATATTTTTCTTTAATCAGTTTCTCAATACTTTGTTTAGCTTTGGGGAGAAATATTTCCTATTCCAATGCGCCTGAGGATTTCGATATAATTCGTTTATAATTACAGTGAGCCCTCGCCTATTTGCGTTTCAGCATTCACGGCTTTACGCATTCGCGGATTTTTCTTCAGAACCAATGTACTTGTTATTGGCAGAAACCCCGAATATTCGCGCGTTTTTCATGTGTACAAATTATTTGCTGAGAACTCTCTCGATTCGAGTATTCTTTCGATAGAACATATTTAAGATATTCTTGTATTATTTTCTTCTCCATTTGATGGAGGGTATCAAAAATATATATTTTTTTTTTGTTAAATCTCTTATATATACCTTTTGAATCTCGTGTAATGCCCCGAATAGTATTTTTTCGATGGTGCTAAATTTTCAAGTGGTGTAGTAATGGCTGCCACCAATGACGCGATTGAATCCCAAATTTCACTGTCAGTAACTCCAAAACGGTAGATTTCATCAATTTTATCAAGCCAGATTCGAATGAAGCATGTACAATTACACATAAATGTAAGTATTTTGGAAATTTTTAATGCGAACTGAGCGCTGGTGTTACACTGTAAATTAACCATGCAAATTGTCTTCACAGAGTAGAATTTCTCATCCGGTGTGCCCTGGTATACAAATGTGCCATGAAAGGTAATCAGGTTCGCCCCAAGTTAACAGAAGAGTAATTTAGAAATTATTTTTATATTAAAAAACCTTCATTTTTCCAAAGCTGGAGACACAAAGCACATGGCTTCTATGTCTAAGTCAAGTCTTTGTTATTTGATAGATGTTAAATTCCTTAATCTTTAAGAAAGAGTGGATAATACTTTTGTTTTCATCGCGGGATTCAAATCAGTCATTATAGGCCACTCTAAAAAATATATATATCAGATTCTTTGTAAATCCTTTTAAACGAAAACTGTACCGCTCATCTTCTTTGGGAATGGTAAACCAAAATTTTGTATTTTCAAATTTCATGACTAATTTTTCCCCTATTAAAATTTAAAATACGCAGTAGAATTTTAGTCATTTTGCAAATACGCTCTGAAATGAAAAAAAAAAAATGTTGGGAAAGACTGCTTTATAGGATAAGATTTATTTGTATAAGATATGATTTTTTAAAATGTTCGGCTTTATTTCGGCATTTCTTTTGATCTTTTCTGTTAAGTCAATCCAAAATAAAAAAAAAAAATATCTGGCACTACTTTTGGCTTGTTACCTACGCGTCAGGAATCTACTTCGGTATGCGATCTATTTTTAGCTGATCCAGGTGATGTTCATCGCTAAAATATTATTAATCGAACATTTTTGGTGCCGATTTAGCGTGTATCCTTCTCATCAGTGTATCTCATCACCACATTTGTATCCTTCATTATCTAGCGTAAGGGGAAAAGCAAAAACGGAAGGAGGGATAACATTTATTGTTGTTTATAAAATTTAAAATAAAAACATAATAAAATAAGACATTTGACTATAAAGTCATAAAACAAGATATTTGAATCCTTTAGATAAAAACATTTTGGATGTCTTTTAACATATCGAGAAAAATGTCTGGACAATGCCTGAATAATGCAGGACACAAATGTGGTGGTAGGATGCACATTAAACAGGAACTGATCGGTAGGACACACGCTAAAGCAGCACTAATTTTAAAAAAAAAATATTTTAAATACATTTTCTTTATGTTACATATATATTTATTAAAGACATTTTTTTTTAACATTACAAACATAAAGAAAATGTGATTAAAATAAAAAAATTCTTTTATTTATATTCTAGCGATAAACAGCATATACATCAACTTTCTTTACAAATTTTAATTTGGACATATAAAACATAATGACATATATTAAGAAATGGACAAGGTCCGACAATTTATTTATTAAAGACATTTTTTTTTTTATGTTTAACGTTGTTATTTATAGATACAAGTATTTAAGCAAATGCTCTGTTTATGATAAACAGTATTAAATAACATTTACTGGCCTGAATGTCCGAGAAATTTTCATAGAAAATATTCGTTCTTTGACAGGATTCGAACCTGCATCCTATACGAAACCGCCATTTACGCTGACGTGTCTTACCTCTGGGCCACAAAGAACCTTTTCTGTAGACGAGGTCGAATTTACTGCTTATAAACTTCAATCTTCCATGAATCTCGTACATTCATAACTGCTCTGGCGTATCAGATGTAAACAAATGACGTCATATATTAAGAAATGGACAAGGTCCGACAATTTATTTATTAAAGACATTTTTTTTTTATGTTTAACGTTGTTATTTATATTTATTTGTTATTTCTATGAAAATTTCTCGGACATTCAGGCCGGTAAATGTTATTTAATACTGTTTATCATAAACAGAGCATTTGCCTAAATACTTGTATCTATAAATAACAACGTTAAACATAAAAAAAAATGTCTTTAATAAATAAATTGTCGGACCTTGTCCATTTCTTAATATATTACATATATATGTCATTATGTTTTACTATGTAGATATAATTCCAAATTAAAATTTGTACGGTGTAGACGTCTTAGTTGATGTATATGCTGTTTATCGCTAGAATATAAATAAAAGAATTTTTTTTAATATTTTAATCACATTTTCTTTATGTTTGTAATGTTTTACGATGTAGATGTCATTTGTACAGATTAGATATTTTTCCTTGTAGATGACATCCAAAATATCATCAAATAATTTATATTTACTAAAATTCACACCAAAATTCAGAAATGGCCTTTAAAATTTGTTAAAAAATGCGTTAATTGTTATTTATTGTCTCCAAAGGAACTCCCACAAATAAGAGTGCTGCGTTCCACCAGGTATTTTCAATTGTTTGCGTCTGGGATGATCCTTCTGGATCAACGAAATCCATACTGTGATTTACAGCCGGATGAATTGGGATCATCCTTCAAAGATGTATAGCCTACAACATAATCCTAGTCCCAATTTATCATTTCAAAAGAGTGCCAAAAATTTCATAAAAACAAGCAAGTTTGATTAAAAATTCATAATTTCTTGGGGTGAATTAATATTTACGATAAGTAACTTTACATTATTTGGGGTTGAATTAACAAAAAAGATCCGCTTTATTTTTTACAAACATTAAATTCTGAAATTTCAATTTTTTAAGTTCAGTTTGAATTTATTCATACCTACATGTATTTTTCAATTCGAATTCATCAAATCAAAGTCGGAATCGTTCTTTTATGATGGCGTACACAATTTAACCGCGGTATAAGTTCATCTAAAGCGTGGAAAAATATTTTCTGAACTGAATAATGATGCTATGAACTTATAAGAATAATTTTTATTAAGAAAATTCCTTGAAACTTCCTTGCACTAGTCCAGCAATAGCTTCGTAGAATAATTTTAGCAGCAATATGTCTTATATATACATATATAATACATAAAAGGTTAATGGTCAAAGTTGAATCAGATCGTTTTCGATGTAATATCCTAAAATAAAGAATATTGCTCTACTTTGTATTGAACCCTCTTTTAAATTA